TTTTTTTTTTTTTTTTTTTTTTTTCGTTTTCTTTTTCGTTTTCTTTTTCGTTTTCTTTTTCGTTTTCTTTTTCGTTTTCTTTTTCATTTTCTTTTTCGTGTTGCATGGAAAATGAGAGATAGCGAGATGACAGAATCCAGATAGCACAATCACATTGAAAGCAAGAAAGTCCCACAGTGTCCAGAAAACAGCATTGCACCAATATTACACCAATGGAGAATCGAAACACTGAAACCGAATGTAAATGAGAGCCTACTCTCGTCCGCACCAACATACGTATCCGGGCCCTCTCTCTCCCTACTTGGCACTCAGCGCCCAGGCTACTCCCTACACAGCTACTTCCTGCCTACGAATTGACAATGCAACTGTTGATGTCAGCAGCCACCGAAGTACTTGAAGACGTAGACAATAGCCAATACCAGCTATGAGCCCTCACATCATCATCCTCATCTGTTTCACTCTCTCCCTATCCTTGTCTTCCTCCCACGTCTTCTCCCTTATGCACGAAGACCACCACCACCTCCACAGGCTCCACTGGCTGTCCAAGCGAAACCCTGGGTATATAGGGCTGGCTATGGTGCTGCCCTCAGCAGTGCCCTGCCTTCTTCCAGCRCCCGTGCGCACTGCCTGGCAACTAGCGCTAGTGCACAGCGCACAGCCCGCGAGCGCACTCTCAAGCAGCACTGCCGCATGCACTGCCTAGTGCCCGAATGCCTCCACCAGTGGCGAGCTCTTTCCTTTATGGAAAGTGCTCGCACAGTCTGCTCCCTGTTTGGGCCTCGTGTATTTCCGGTAGCTTCCAATCGGGCCAGAGTGTCTGCACCCAGGCCCATTCAGACAAAGGCCTGGGACCGAATTGGTTGAGCCTGCCCAACCACCCATGAGTAAACGTGAGGTTCTCCCTGCTTCGCCTGTGCTGATGGAAGAGCCTAGAAGGCTCAGGAATTATATCTGATTCTCACGAGTATGGAGGATGTAACCAACTGGCGCATGGCAACTGTCTGGTGCCCACCAGCCCTTACCAAATTTGACGAACTCAGGCCATGTTGAAATTCAGGGGGGCCGCTTTCACTTAGGGTGGGCTCATGCTTGCTGATAGGGCCCTACAGGGCATGCCAAGGAGCCAACTCGTAACAAGGCCTCGTCGAAGATCCATGCCCACATAGGGTTTACAACAGGCTCTGCTTGGGCCCCTCAGCCTGGTCTCATAGCCCTATAAAGAGGCATTGGCACATATTTGGAAGCCCGCCTTCACTTAGGGGGGGCACAACATCTTTCGGACACTGCCGAGGATCTAAATCCTCGCATACCTTCGCCCTTAGCTTCGAAAGTCCCGTGAGAAAGCCTTTGGTTCACCCCATTAGTTACTCAGTTCAAAGTTGTTAGCTTGTTGAGATTCTCTGATGGAATTTGAAGCCGTCTCTGTGGTTTGAACTTTGGAATATACAGCATCACAGCTTCAGAGGAATCAGAGCTTGTCGTTGGTGTCTTCAGCTATGGTTGGGGGCAGCATACACCTTCTTCAGGCAGGTACTCAGAGTCAGGGACAGTTGTAAGACAGGGATGGTAAGATAGATGATTGGGTTATTAATGATCTGGACACATGAAAGAGGACGAATCGTTTGGCGATTCGATCTATGCAGGTTATTGTCCTGCCGTTTGCAATCCACCCTGTGAAACGACTGCTAGGACACCCAAATAATCTGAATATAATATTATGAGAGACGTTAGTTTACCTTCCAAGTGCAGATTACGACACTCAGATTCATTCTCCTATATGAAGTGTGGACGGTAGACTGTTATGATCTCATATGCAAATCGAAAACCTAGTGTAGTCTTGTCAGCTCCCTCTACACTAACAGGCTCAGTTGTTAATCGGTTTTCTATTATGAAAGAGTCTGCCGTTGGTCTATGTTTCAGACTCAACTTTCGACGTGCTTGTCTTCGGGACGATTTCCGAAAGACCATTTGCAGTTGAGCATATATTTGTCCACTCATTCTCTTCCACCTTCGTTAGAGAGAGGATCATCTCTAGTACTTACGGTTTTTAGGCGGTCTAGCAATACGTTTACACGTGTCCATAAATGA